GGCCTTTTTGGGGGGGGGGGGAGACACACACCCCGACCCCCTCGCTGTCCCCGCAGGTCCCTCCGCCGGGCCAGCTCCCGGTGCTCGGATCCAACCTGGCTGCGACCGGAGACGCGACCCTGGGCCTCGCTGTGCCGGGTGAGCGGCAGCGCCCTGGGGCTGGCCCTGGCCGCCAGGCACCGCCCGAGCCGCCGGGCCGCCGAGGAGCCGCCGGGGCTGGAGCCGCCCCTGGGCAGCGCCACGCTGGGGCTGCTGGCCCTGGACGTGCTGCACAAGCTGCCCAAGAGCGACGGCACGGCCCTGTGGTACCTGAACGTGGGTGCCCGCTACGCCCTGGGGCCCGTGCTGGTGGGCTCCCTCCTGCCCCAGCTCATCCTCACCCTCCGGAGGTTCCGGGCAACCCCCTAGACCACACCCCAGAATGGTGGGGAGTGAGGGGGATCTGCTGCCGGTTCGTCTCCACCTGTACAGGGACCCCCAAATTGAGTAGGGGGTGTCTGCTCTGTTGCCAGTTCATTCTCACACTCCTTTTGCCACAGGGACCCCCAAACTGAGTAAGGGGTCCCCGCTCCTGTCCTGGTTCATCCTCACCCTCCCTTTCCGCAGGACCCCCAAACTGAGTGGGGGTTTCTGCTCTATTCCCAGTTCATCCTCACCCTCCCTTTCCCCAGGGACCCCCAAATTAATTGGGGGGGTTTCTGCTCTGTTTCCAGTTCACTCTCAGCCTCACTTTCCCCAGGACCCCCAAACTGAGTGGGGTGGGGGATTTCTGCTCTATTCCCAGTTTCCCCGGGACCCCCAAATTGGGTGGGGGGCCCTGCTCTGTTTCCAGTTCACCCTCACCCTCCCTTTCCCAGGGACCCCCAAATTGAATGGGGGGTCCTGCTCTATTCCCAGTTCACTCTCACCCTCCCTTTCCCCCGGGACCCCAAACTGAGTGGGGGGTTTCTGCTCTGTTCCCAGTTCACTCTCACCCTCCCTTTCCCAGGGACCTCCAAATTGAATGGGGGGTCCTGCTCTATTCCCAGTTCACTCTCACCCTCCCTTTCCCCCGGGACCCCAAAACTGAGTGGGGGGCCCTGCTCTGTTTCCAGTTCATCCTCACCCTCCCTTTCCCCCGGGACCCCAAATTGAGTGGGGGGGTTTCTGCTGTTCCCAGTTCACTCTTCCTCCTTCCCCCCAAACCGAGCAGTTGTCCCGGTTCCCGCTCACCCTCAGCTGCCCCCGGGACCCCCCCTCACCGCGGGTAGGGGGTCCGTGCCCCCCGGGGGTGCCCCGTGCCCAGCGGGTCTGGGGGCACAGCCCAGGGACAGCCGGGGACACTGAGCTGCCACCGCTGTCCCCAGCTGTCCCATCCCCTCCGCAGCAGGGATGGCACCCCCCCCGACCTGCCGGGACCCCCCCCGACCCGCCGGGACCCCCCCTCACCCCGGTTTGGTACCAAATAAAGCTCCAGAACCGAGCCGGGTCCCGAGTGCTGGGGGGGGGGACACACGGTCAGAGGGAGGGGACAGCGGGGACAGAGCCCCCCGAGCCCGGGGGTGACAAAGGGGACCCGCCCAGCTCCCTCCCTGCGCCTCTTGCGGTGCCTGGGGAAACTGAGGCACGTGGGGACATAGGGCAGGAAAAGGGACACGGGGACAAGAAAAGGGACACGGGGACAAGAAAAGGGACACGGGGACACCCCCAGCACCCCCAAAGGCAGCGGGCCCGGCGGGTATTGCCAGAAACAGTTTATTTATACAAGGACGAACATCGGTGACATCTTACAAAATACCGAACCGAGACCCAGAGCGAGCGTGAGCGGGGACGGACGGGGGACACGGGGGACACACGAGGGGGGGGGACACACGAGAGGAGGGGGGGGGACACCAGCCCAAAGCAAGCCGGGCACGCTGCCGGGGGGGGGCAGAGACCCTCCTCCCCTCCCCAAACCCCTCTCCTGGGATGGGGAGGGGGATCCCCCGCCACTCTCGGGGTGTCCCCAGCCTTGGGGACACGCACGGTCCCCCCTCCTCACCCAGGAGAGGTGACAAGGACAACCTCGTCCCTCTGTCCTAATTTGGGACCACCCCAAATTCCCCCCCACCCCCGGAATAATTTAACCCACGATGTGCTGTCCCTGTCCCCCCCCCTCCTCCCCCCAATTAAAAAAATACTATTAAATAATCCATCTGTAATAAAATTATATCCATTTTTTTGGGGGGGGGATTGGGTGGTTTTCTCTCTTTTAAAGCTAAAATCGCTCTGAGGCCCCTCCGGCTGGTGACAAAACAGGAAAATAAAGTGGTTTTTCCTCTATTTTTTTTCCTTTTCTCTCTTTTTTTTTTTTTTCTTTCTCCTATAAGGATAAATTTGATCCCAACAAAGGCGCCGGGGTGACAAAGTGACAGGGGGGTGGGGGACAGGGCTCGTCCCTTTGTCTCACGTCCCCATCCAAAACGGGGAGGCCGAAGGGAAAAAAAAAAAAACCCCAAGAAAATTAAGAAAAAGCCCAAAACGAAGGGAAATTAAGGCATTAAAAAAAAAAAAAATACTCACTTAAAGGCACGAATATTTCCCATCGCCTCCCCCGGGGGGGGGACGGATCCGGAGCCAGGGAGGGAACGAGGCAGGGGGAGACACAAAAATAGGGGGAAAATAAGGAAAAAACCCTAAAAAAAACCTCGAGGAGCCCCGGGGGGGTCCGGGCAGCGCCGGGGGGACCCGACGGACACGGGGGGACACGGGGGGGACACGGGGGGACAGGGGGTGCTGGTGGAACTGCTGCTGCACAAGAGACACGACCGCAAACACCGCGGGGAGCCGGGGGCACAGGACGGGCGGGGGGATTTTTTTTTTTTGTGTTTTTCTCCTCTTTTTAATAGAAAAAGAAAATATTTTCCTCTTTTTTTTTCTGGTTTTCCTTTCGGTTTCTGCCTTTTTTTTTTTTTTTGATTTTTTTTTTTTGCGTGTGTTTTTCATCTCTTCCGGGTGTTCCTTGGTTTGCTGGATGATCCGGGCGGGTCAGAGCGTGGGCTCGGCCTCCATTGGCTCCTCTGCTGGCCTGGCCAGGGCAGGGACAAGTGTCTGTCACCCCCAGTGTCCCTCCCGGTGTCACACCCTGCTCCATTCACCCCCTCACCATGTCCCCAAGTGTCACACCCTCTGTGTCCCCCGTGTCCCCACGAGTCATACCCTCCCCGTGTCCCCCCGGAGCCACACCTGGCTGCATTCACCCCCCCACCATGTCCCCCAATGTCACACCCGCCGTGTCCCCCAGTGTCACATCCTCTCCATGTCCCCCAGTGCCACACCCTCCCTGTGTCCCCATGTTCCCCCTTGTCCCCCAGTGTCACACACCCCCCTCATGTCCCCCTGGTGTCACACCCGGCTCCATTCACCCCTCCAATGTCCCCCAGTGTCACACCCTCCGTGTCCCAACGTGTCATACCCTCCCCGTGTCCCTTGTGTCCCCCGTGTTCCCCCCAGTGTCACACCCAGCTCCATGTCCCCCTTGTCCCCCCATATTCCCCAGTGTCACACCCCCCTCAGGTCCCCTGTGTCCCCCAGTGCCACACACCCCAGCTGTGTCCCCCCGGTGTCACACCTGGCTCCATTCACCCCACACTGTGTCCCCCTTGTCCCCCCGTGTCCCCCAGTGCCACACCCCCCAGCCACGTTCCCCAGTGTCACACCCAGCTCCACTCGGCCCCACCGTGTCCCCCTTGTCCCCCTGTGTCACACCCCCCAGCCGTGTCCCCCGGTGTCACACCTGGCTCCACTCAGCCCCACTGTGTCCCCTAATGTCACACCCCTGCCATGTTCCCCCATTGTCACACACTCCCCATGTCCCCCATTGTCACACTTCCCCCATGTCCCCCATTGTCACACTCCGCCCGTGTCCCCCATTGTCACACTCCCCCCGTGTCCCCCCGTGTTCCCCATTGTCACACTCCCCCTGTGTTCCCCATTGTCACACCCCTGCCATGTTCCCCCATTGTCACACACTCCCCATGTCCCCCATTGTCACACTTCCCCCATGTCCCCCATTGTCACACTCCCTCCGTGTCCCTCCGTGTCCCTCCCTGTCCCCCGTGTCCCACCTGGCCTGTGGCTCCGTCCCGGCGCGCTCGGCGCCCACGGACAGCAGGGCCATGGCTGTCACCGTCTCGGCCTCCTCGGTGTCCCCGCGCTGCGCCTCCAGCAGGGACCGGCCCACGGCGGCGGCGAAGCGCCGCACGGAGCCCCAGTGCCGGCCTGCGGGGACAGCAGGGGGCTGGCACGGAGCGGCCGCTGTCCCCCCGTGTCCCCCCGTGTCCCCTCCGTGTCCCCGGGGACCCCTCGGGGAGCTCCCGCGGCCCCGTCCTCACTCTGGATCTCGATGACCTTCTCCAGCGTGGCCACCGCGTTCACGTTGGGCTTCTGCTGCAGCAGGGCCGGGTCCAGGGGCTCCAGCTGGGGGGCACACCCTGTCAGCTCCCCCAGACTGCCACCAACCCCTCTAGACTGCCACCAGCACCCCCAGACTGCCACCAGCACCCCCAGCCAGCCACCAGCACCCCTAAACTGCCACCACCCCCCTAGACTGCCACCAGCACCCCCAGACTGCCACCAGGCCCCCCAAACTGCCACCAGCACCCCCAAATCCACGGCAGGGATGGGACCAGAGCCCCTCACCAAGCAACGAGGGGAAACTGAGGCACGGCATGGGGCGTGCGCCCCAACACGGCCCTGGGGAAGGGCTGGGGGGCTCGGGGTGTCCCCCCCGTACCTCGAGGCCGAGCAGGGCGGTGACACAGGCCTCCGAGGCGTCGCAGATGGCCGTCAGGTCGTGTCCCCCCTCCAGCGCCAGCACCACCCGGCCCCCCGCCAGCATCATCAACTGCTTCGTCAGGTGCCCGAAACCTGGGGGGGCACCGGGCACGGGGTGAGGGGCGGCCGGGCCGGGGTCCTCACCCCGGGATGCCCCCGGACCCCACTCACACTTGGCGGTGACGGAGTAGCCACCGAGAGGGGACAGGTGGCCCTCGACGGCGTCGAAGCCGGCGGAGACCAGCACCAGGTCCGGGGAGAACTCCTTGGCGATGGGCATCACCACCGTCCTGGGGGCAGCGGCGGCTCGGGACCCCCCCGGGGCTGGGGGAGCCCCCCGGGAGGGCAGGGACACCCCCCCAGGACGTGGGGACCCTCCAGAGTACAGGGACAGCCCCCCAGGACGTGGGGACCCCCAGAGTACAGGGACACCCCCCCAGGATGTGGGGACCCACCAGAGTACAGGGACAGCCCCCCAGGACGTGGGGACCCTCCAGAGTACAGGGACAGCCCCCCAGGACGTGGGAACCCTCCCAGAGTACAGGGACAGCTCCCCAGGACTTGGGGAGCCCCCCAGGGAGCAGGGACCCCCCCAAGGTGTGCAAGGACCCCCACCAAGGTGTGCAGGGACCACCCCCAAGGCGTGAAGGACGCCCCCAAGGTGTGCAGGGACCCCCCCAAGGTGTGCAGGGACCGCCCCAAGGTGTGCAAGGACCCCCACCAAGGTGTGCAGGGACCCCCCCAAGTTGTGCAGGGACGCCCCCAAGGTGTGCAGGGACCCCCCCAAGGTGTGAAGAATCCCTCCAAGATGTGCAGGGACCCCCCCAAGGTGTGCAGGGATCCTCCCAAGGTGTGCAGGGACCCTCCCAGCATCCAGAGGACCCCCTGATACAGCCTGGACAGCCCCCCAGGATGTGGGGACCCCCAGAGTACAGGGACACCCCCCCAGGATGTGGGGACCCACCAGAGTACAGGGACAGCCCCCCAGGACGTGGGAACCCCCCAGAGTACAGGGACACCCCCCCAGGATGTGGGGACCCTCCAGAGTACAGGGACAGCCCCCCAGGACGTGGGAACCCTCCCAGAGTACAGGGACAGCTCCCCAGGACTTGGGGAGCCCCCCAGGGAGCAGGTACCCCCCCAAGGTGTGCAAGGAGCCCCACCAAGGTGTGCAGGGACCACCCCCAAGGCGTGAAGGACGCCTCCAAGGTGTGCAGGGACCCCCCCAAGGTGTGAAGAATCCCCCCAAGATGTGCAGGGACCCCCCCAAGGTGTGCAGGGATCCTCCCAAGGTGTGCAGGGACCCTCCCAGCATCCAGAGGACCCCCTGATACAGCCTCCCAAGGACTCAGGAACGCCCCCAGGGGCTCAGGAACCCCCCCAGCACACCGGAACTCCCCGAGGCAGAGCCCCCTCCCACCCTGGAGCCCCCCCGCGGGTGCAGCCCCCCCACCTGAAGGCTGTCAGGTACTCCACGTCCCCGATCGGGGGGTCCACGCCGCCGGTCCAGGCGATGTTGATGTTGTAGCCCACGCCCAGCCCGCTGCCCACCTGGCCACAGCCACAGGTGACCCACCCCGTGCCACAGCAGGGGGGGGCACGGGGGGACTCCCACCCCCCAAATTCCCCCCGGTACCTCCTCGGGGGCCCCGCTGCCCGGGAAGAAGTTGCCGTCGTCGTAGCGGTGCAGGGAGATGTAGAGCACGTGGGGGTCGCTGTAAAAGGCCTGCTGGGTCCCGTTGCCGTGGTGGATGTCCTGGTGGGGGGGCACCCGGGTGTCAGGGACCCCTCCCCACACCGGCCCCAAAGCCTGTGGGGTCCCCCCTGACCCCCCCTTACCCAGTCCACGATGAGGATCCTGCCCACGCTGAGCCGCTGCTGCAGCAGCTTGGCCGAGATGGCCACCGAGTTGAAGAAGCAAAAGCCCCTGGGGACAAGGGACAAGGGACGAGGGACATCAGTGGAGAAGGTGGCCCTGGGAGCGGGGGGTGGGCCTGGGCAGGGGTCCCGGCCCCGTCCCTGTACTCACATGGCCGTGGACTCCTCGGCGTGGTGGCCTGGGGGGCGGATGACAGCGAAGCCATTCTGGGGGACAGAGAGGGACACGGGTGGGACACAGAGGGATGTGTGTGACACAGAGACACGTGTGGCATTGGGGCACAATTGGGACAGAGAGGGACACGGGTAGGACACAGACACGTGTGGCATTGGGGTCCAATGGAGAGAGAGGGACACAGAGTGTGGCATTGGGGCACAACCAGAACAGAGGGACACAACTGGGACAGAGAGGGACACAGGTGGGACACAGGGATGTGTGTGTGACACAGAGACACGTGTGGCATTGGGGCACAACCGGGACAGAGAGGGACACGGGTGGGACACAGAGGGATGTGTGTGACACAGAGACACGTGTGGCATTGGGGCACAACGGGGACAAAGGGACACTCACGGGACAGGGAAGGACATGGATGGAACACACACGGGACAGGGAGAGACACAGGGATGTGTGTGTGACACAGAGACACGTGTGGCATTGGGGCACAATTGGGACAGAGAGGGACACGGGTAGGACACAGACACGTGTGGCATTGGGGTCCAATGGAGAGAGAGGGACACAGAGTGTGGCATTGGGGCACAACCAGAACAGAGGGACACAACTGGGACAGAGAGGGACATGGGTGGGACACAGAGGAATGTGTGTGACACAGAGACATGTGTGGCATTGGGGCACAACTGGGACAGAGGGACATGGATGGGACAGAGAGGGACACGGGTGGGACACAGAGACACGTGTGGCATTGGGGCAGAGGGACCCACACGGGACAGGGAGGGACACAGGGATGTGTGTGTGACACAGAGACACGCGTGGCATTGGGGCACAACCGGGACAGAGGGACACGCACGGGACAGAGAGGGACACGGGTGGGACACAGAGGGATGTGCATGTGACACAGAGACACACGTGGCATTGGGGCACAACCGGGACAGAGGGACACTCACGGGACAGAGAGGGACACCTGCAGGGAGGCAAGTGACAGTGACACAGGCTCACCTTGACCTCCCCTGCGGCCACTTTGAAGGCCAGCTCGAGCAGGCAGCCCACGGCCGTGCGCACCGCGCTGGACGAGTGCAGCTCGTTCCACACCGTGTCACTGTCCACCTGTGGGGACACCGGGGCTCAGCGGGGCACGGCCACCCCGGGGACACCCCCAGCCCTGCCCCCAGACTCACCCCGATGCCCCCGCACGGCAGCACCGCGTACGTCTTCGGAGTGATGGGACCTGCGGGGTCAAGGCGTGATGGGGACACGGGGATCCCGTGGGAAAAGGGGATCTCTGAGCACCCCAAGGGATTGGGAACGCCAGGGGACAGGGGGATCCCATGGGATTGGGGGAACCCCAGACACCCCAAGGGATGGGGGAACCCCGGGGGACAGGGGGATCCCATGGGAAAAAGGCACCCCAAGGGATGGGGAAACGCCAGGGGACAGGGGGATCCCATGGGAAAAAGGCACCCCAAGGGATTGGGAATGCCACGGGACAGGGGGATCCCATGGGAAAAGGGCACCCGAAAGGATGGGGAATGCCAGGGGACAGGGGGATCCCATGGGAAAAAGGCACCCCAAGGGATTGGGAATGCCAGGGGACAGGGGGATCCCATGGGAAAACAGCACCCCAAGGGATTGGGAACCCCAGGGGACAGGGGGATCCCATGGGACCCCTGAACACCCCAAGGACTGGAACCCCCCATGGGACACAGACTCTCCTGGACACCCCAGGGGATGGGGACCCTCAGGGAACAGAGGGATCACAAGGAACAGGGCAGCAAGGTGACCCCAGCTCCAGAGAGGGGGTTCCCAGGCATGGGGGGGACCCCCAGCACCCACCCAGCAGCTTTTTGCTGTCCAGTTTCTGGCGGTTCAGGGGGCTGGTGCCGTAGAGCAGCGCGTGGTGCTCCGAGTGCACCGTCTGGATCTCCTCCAGCGTCGCCTTCCTGCCCCGGATCCGCTGGGAAGGGGCACAGGCTGAGCCCCCCGGGGCTCCCCGTGCCATCCTGACCCCCCCCAGGACACGGGGAGCCCCCTCCTCACCTCGCACTTGCCCAGCAGCCCCGTCTCCTGCAGCCGGGACCAGATGCTCTGGATGCGGCCGGCGTGCTCGGGGTGGATGGTGGTGTTGCCGCAGGTGCACTGGTGCTTCAGCATGAACGTGTCGTACACCACACCTGGCACGGCACAGCTGGCACGGCTGGCACCCCGGGACACCCCCAGGGAAGGGCAGCCCCCGGGGGAAGGGGGGTGCCAGGGGATATGGGGATCCCCAGGCACCCCGAGGTGTGGGGAACCCAGGGAGACAAAGGGGATCCGTGGGACTGGGGGACGCTGGGAACCCCAGGGGACAGAGGGATGCTATGGAGTAGGGGGACCCTAGGACATTCCAAAATATTGGGAACCCCAGGGCACAGAGGAATCCTATGGAGTAGGGGAACCCTAGGACATTCCAAAATATTGGGAACCCCAGGGCACAGAGGAATCCTATGGAGTAGGGGGACCCTGGGACATTCCAAAATATTGGGAACCCCAGGGAACAGAGGGATGCTATGGCACTGAGGGATGCCAGGACATTCCAGTATTGGGAACCCCAGGGAACAGAGGGATCCTATGGCACTGAGGGATCCTGGGACATTCCAAAATACTGGGAACCCCAGGGGACAGAGGGATCCTGTGGCACTGAGGGATCCCTGGGCACCCCATAGGATTGGGAACCCCAGGGGACAGAGGGATGCTATGGCACTGAGGGATGCCAGGACATTCCAGTATTGGGAACCCCAGGGAACAGAGGGATCCTATGGCACTGAGGGATCCTGGGACATTCCAAAATACTGGGAACCCCAGGGGACAGAGAGATCCTATGGGGTAGTATTGGGAACCCCAGGGAACAGAAGGATCCTATGGCACTGAGGGACCCCAGGACATTCCAAAATACTGGGAACCCCAGGGGACAGAGAGATCCTATGGGGTAGGGGGACCCTGGGACATTCCAAAACATTGGGAACCCCAAGAGACTGAGGGACGCCCCACTCAGGGGGACACTAATCCTATGGCATGAAGGGACCCCAGGACATTCCAAAACATTGGGAACCCCAGGGCACAGAGTCAGGGGACCCCTGGGCACCCCACAGGATTGGGAACCCCAAGGAAGAAGAGAATCCCACAGGAGAGGAACATCCACAACCCCGCCACGGAACGGGACCCTCGGGGGTGGGGGGACACAGCCACCCCTGACACCTCCCACGGGACAGGAGCCCCCCACGTGACAGAACCCCGGGGCACAGGGACCCCCCGACCCCCCAGAGCCGTACCTGTGGTGAAGAGGTGCTTGGGGGGCCCCTCGGGCTGGGGGGGTTTGACGCTGGCCGGGGACGATTGGGTGCGGGCGAGGGCGGGGTGGGGCAGAGCCAGGACCCCCAGGGGGGGCGCGGGGAAGAGCTGCAGCGGCGCCTCGGGGTACACCTGGGGAGGGGGCGGCGTGAGTCACAGCAGGGCACTGGCAGGGGGGGGTCACAGC